CATATATATGTATATGTGTCATTGTGAGAGAGGTATTTTGTGGCATGTTTGTGGTTAAAGTTTGTAAGGAGGTTATTTTGGTAATTTGTGAGGTCAAAGGGGGTGACTAAGTTGGACCACTCATTTAGTGGGGTAAGAGGCCATTATGAGCCTCACTCCTTCTTCTTCTTCACTTGTAATGTCTCTCTCTAAGTTCTCTTTTTCTCCCTTCTTCCATTATTTCTAAATTTCCTCAAGCTAGAGGTAGATTTGATTTAAGCCGAATTTAGGAAAGTTGTAAATTGTCTCAAGGGCTTCATTTTGGTACCAGTCTTGCTAGCTTTTGGTGAACTTCGAGTTGGGGTTCTTGGAGCCTTGGATTGCTTTATTGAGGTAGGGGTGTCTAAACCATTATGTTTTACCGTTATTTGAGTTCTCTTGCTTTGATTTCTTGCTAAGCATGTCTAGAGGAAAAAATCTTATAGTAGAAATGTTGCCTATGTGTTTATGTGAAGCAAGCACGTTCAATGATGATGATGGTTGAATTTATATGTATACTTGATTTCAAGATTGTTTAAAGCATGATTATGTGTATGACTTGCTATCATGAAAGTGTATAGATGAGTATAATGATGTGATGTTGATGATGAACATGTTTGACTAATTGAGTAGAATTGTAAAATATGAAAAGGTTGATTTCATCCATGCATGATTTTATTCGTGGCATGGGCATGGTAAGGAATTGGGGTGAAATTATTTTCTAAAATTGAGTTGGGAAGTCTTATGGAAAGAAAATAGGTTTTGATGTAAAAAGGGAAAAAATTTGTGGAAATGGTTTTGTTAAAGAAACTGGGTTTTGCGAGCCTAGGGCTAACTCTGCTTATAGGGGGCGCGTGTTGGATTTGAACGTGTAATATTGATTACTAGGCCCCAATTGGCTGCTGAAATTTGAGTTTGGGATAGCAAATCAATCTCACCTCGGTAAAGTCGGTTACTGATTTTCGGTGTTAGTTAGGTTGGATTGGGACTAGTGCTGGGATGGTATCACATTCATATCATAGTTGTGTTCATATGCATGCTTTAGCTTGTGAAGAATGATGCTTACAATTGGCTATGTGGATTGTGGTTATTGATATCCCCATATATGATCCGAACTTCTCTTTTCCCATTCCTTGTGTGTTCCACTCAAGGGAGTCCAAAACCGATGTTTTAGGCATTCTCTATTGAGTTGTTGAACTTACCCCTTATTTTTAAGATTTTCAGGTGTACGGAGACGATACAACAGGAGAAGTGCATCCAAGGACTTAGACATAGATAGGATTACCGTTTTTTAAATTTATGTAATCATGGCCATAACAATCTTATTTTGTAGCTAAATTCTTTTAGATTTTTGTATGACGAATTAGTATGTTTTGATCTTCAAATGATGTATAAATACTTTATTTTGATGTATGTATAATGTTTCTTGGTGAAATTATGTGTTTGATTTCATATATGGGCCATTTACCATGTTAGATTGTGTTTGGAAATGGTTAGAAATGATTTTAGGGAAATTCTAAAATTCACTTTTTTTGACTTAAGCCAAGTAATCGGTTAGATGATCCCTTGTAACCGGATACTTAGTCTACGGGGATATTTTTTTCAGTTTTGCGCGCTTACTGCCTAATCAAGTAACCATTAGATGATTTTATGTAACCGGTTAAATGATTTCATATAACTAGTTAGATTATTCCATGTACCGGTTAGTTGGTCTTGACAGTAGGCATGTTCACTAGACTTGATGATCTAACAGGTTAAATGATTTTATGTAACCGATTAGCTGAACTAGTATTCGCACTTTGACCCTAAACCTTAGTATAATTATTTAATTACCCTAGACTTCATCCAAAGCATTAAATGACCTTAGTAAATGACTATTTTACCTTTTTTGGGTCTCCAACTATAATTGAATGTGCTAAATGACTATCTTGCCCTTTTGGGTTTTATTCCATTATTTGACCACGATAAATGACCATTATACCCTTATGGACTCTAGGACTAATATAATGACGTGAAATAATCATAGTATCCTTGTGTGACCTCGGGTAAGGACCTGGATAGCGATTTGGATCCCCGGATCTGGGTCGTCATACTAAGCTTATGGGTTTTAAGGGAAAGAGTAGAAAAGAACTCGCCTTAGAATTTTCGGATTGAAAATCAAACCGTAAACTTTTCAATCATCTTTTCCAACTCCAACAGCCTTCGAGTTGTTGTCATTCTTTCGTTCTAGTCCGGTTTGCTTGTTCCTTACTGGTTCAGCCTCTCCTTCACTATCTTTTCTTCTCAGCGTCTTCTTCTCTCTCAATTTATCACGATTTCTCTCTTGTTGCTCTTCTATATTGCTCTCTGTTCTTTCTCACGTCCAAACCCTCTCCTAAACTATAGTAGGTATATATATATATTTACACCCACATAGTCTATACCCTAATCCTAGTTTGACTACTTAAATAAAAAAATAAAATTAATAATAATCAACCAACCAAGTAATATACGTATATACTTATATATATATATGCCCCCGCACGCACGCGCGCGCGCACACACACACACACATATATATATATATATAAAACTACTTATATATATATACCAAATGACCTTGAATAATAACACAAACTAGGCCTAAAGTATTAAGGCCTTCAACTCCCTCAATCCAAGTCCAAACCTTGCCCAACTTTTAAACCCAATCCATTAATATTAAAAAAATAAAACAAATAAATAAACAACTAATCAAAGAAACCAAAAATTGAATTCTAACAAACACAAACAAGGTTCACATAACACACAATTGCATAGACAAATGAATAAACGAGTCAATAACAAAATACACAATTTAATTAGACAAACTAAACAATTTAATTAAACAAATAATAAACTAACAAAACAATTTAATCAAACAAAAATAATTTAAATCAAACAAATATACAATTAAACTAAATAGCCCAAATAAATTAATTAAAATGATTCCTTTAAAATAGAGGAGTATTACAATAGATTTTTACAAAATTGATATTTGGCCCTTCAATAAGTCGTATTGAGGCTTTCCTACTCTTATAGATTGGGATTTTTCTCCAAAAGTTGTGAGGCCTCCTCTGAGACCCCCTGACTGACTGACAAGCACTTGTGATTCATGGCTCCTGAGAATCATCGCAAGCTAAGAATGCCCTAATTGACTGACAATCACCTATGATTCAGTCTCTCTCTCTCTCTCTCTCTCTCTCTCTCTCTCTCTCTCTCTCTCTCTCTCTCTTTTCCTTATTATTTTAGTGAATAAGAATGGCGTAGGACAATTTTTTTGGCATATGGTCCTCTGTTTTATTTGGTTTTGTGCTTGTTTCATTAGGTTTTTTAATCTCTCACTTTTTCCCATATTATATAAGGATTGTGGTGTTAAAATTTGTAGTCTTTGTTCATTTTATTGGTTTGATAAAATGTATAATCAAATTTACAATTTTAGTAGATTTTAGTAGATAAAAATAATAATAATAATAAAGTTAGGTTGATTTTAGTCTTTGTTTATTTCATTAGGATTTTTTTTTTTTTTTTTTTAAATTTCCAAAAATAAAGTTTAGCATGTTGATTGAAGGCTTCTTTGTATGCTCTGTTTTTTTTAACAAGCCAAAACAAAATGTTGGGACACGAGGAGGATGAATCCCCTCCTGTCCTATGCACCAGACCCACAGAAAAATGTTGGGACACGAGGAGGAAGGATCCCCTCCTGTCTGGTACTGTTCGGTGCATTAAAATGACGTAGTTTTAATGCATCGGATCCCTTGCAAACAAGAGGGGATCCGGGTTCAGGACACAAGGCCTTGCCAACCAATAATTGTCCAAGGGAGACGAACCCATATATCCAAGCTCTCCCTTTGAATGTGCCTAAGGATCAATTTTTACATACTTTAGAAGATCTTGTTTATCCCATAAAACTAATTTGTGACATTTTGTGCCTTGATTCCACCATCTAAAGTTTTAACACATTACACATTTTTATCTACGATACTTCGGACAAGTGAATTACTATACTTTATGGTTAGTTAAATACAAATACATTTATTTCTTTTCTCCAAATTGTGGCAATTCCTAATATGGATTTAGAACTTCTCTAATTAATGTGTAAATGCTTTAAAATTTAGGTTGCTGTCAATGCCCCTATCCATCTATTTTCTTTTGCTAAATACTATATTAAAATTTCGATTGTCTAGTTAATAAATGATTATAGCAACAGATACATACCCATACCTGTAATCGTATTTGCTTAACTATAAGTTTAATGAATTAGAATGAAAGAAATAACATTAGTAATCCACTAAGATTTCCAATGCAATCAAGGATTGATCCTGTATAGTCGTGCAAATTGCAAATCTCATACATTCGGAAATTAATCCTTCAATCTCATTATTATCAAGGTACAACCTTTGAAGACCTTTCCACGCCTCATTTGTTAACCGAATGGTTCCCACTCAAGTTGTTGTTGCTCAGTATAGGATGGATATGTGTTTCAAAAGGAACCACTACCTTCAGATTTATCTGGTTAGTTGTCAATCAGATGCAAAACAATTAAGGGAACTTGAAAATTTTCAAATAGAGTATGGTAAGATGCCATAAAATAATAGATTAAGAACATACAAAAAAAACTCTTCAAATTAAGGATGTCAAGTTTGTCAAAGAAGCGAGGATGTCAATTAATGACTTCTCCTAAGTTGTTGTTTAGGAGGAAAGATTGTGGATTTAATCAGCACAGGAAAGAAAAAACGTTAGGTGCAACACAAGACAAAATGTCCCAACAACCATAACTGAGAAAAATCTAAGAATGTCCCCTACCTAGCTAGGTAACAAGAGAAACAACAAAGACAAACCATACATCTTTGCTAGTGCTATACACAACACCAATGTGTTCGGTTAACAAAAGAAACATGAGCACTTGCATCTTATAACATTAATGTCACGTGCAGGGCAAAACCAGAAATACACGTCATGAGACCTCAATTACGAAGCAGTTGCAGTTTAATCTTATCCAGTTTAGCCACCACTTCTTTTATATCGCTCCTCTCTTCTGGTAGTTCTCTAGAACACTCCAACCCTAAGTCAATGATAGCTACGAAAATACCTTGTGTGGAACTCATCATTTCATCTCCTCCTGCTGTCAACAAACCTTGGTCAATGACTTCTATTATTTTGTGGGGAAGTGATGCACTCACCCATTGCCTCAGACTTAAGTCTTCAGTGAATATTTCATTTATGGGGTTTTTTCTTGTGAATGTCTCCAACAACATTATTCCATAACTATAGATATCACCTTTTATGGAAACTCTTCCTTCTGAACCATACTCTGTCAATCATTCATTTTGTTCAAGCGTGGTCAAAATAGTTACATGAAAAAAAAAAAGATTAAAAAAAGAGTACACGAAACAAATAATTTGTAACTGATCATTTGAATACAATCATGCCAAGCATAATTTTTGAAAAAAATATATTGAATTATAATAATAATGTAGTAATTGTCTAAGTTTCCATACATAAAAAATTCTATATGCTAACAATTTTGAATAAATAAAAATGAAAAAGGAATTTATACACAAAAAGAATGGTGAATAAGGTTGACAAAATTTACCTGGTGCAATGTAGCCGATTGTGCCTACAGTTTCCGTTTGTGTTGCGGTGTTATTTTCAGCTAATATCTTTGCAATGCCAAAATCACCCACGTGTGCTACCATGTCTTCGTCTAAAAGGACATTGCTAGGCTTCAAATCACAGTGGACAATAGGCTCTAACTGACCATGATGAAGATAATCTAAAGCAAAAGCAACATCAAGCATAATGCTGACTCTTTGAAGGAGATTCAAGCAGTAGTTGTGAGAATATAACCACTTCTCCAGACTTCCATTAGGCATGTATTGCAAAACCAAAGCTCTTAACTCAGTGTTAGAGCATGTACTTATGACCTTAACAAGATTCCGATGCCTAACTGTTCGCAGCACTTTGCATTCTGCTTCAAAACTTTTGAAAGCTTCGTCAAGTTGCAAGTCTAGAATTTTCACAGCTACATTTGTTCCGTCAAAGAGTATTCCTTTGTACACTGCACCAAAACCTCCTACCCCAATCAGGTTGGCTTCACAGAAGTTATTTGTAGCATTACAAAGCACTTGATATGAAAACAACCTATGCTCGATTCCGTCTAACAAATTATAGGTAGAACTTTGAGCTTGTGTTCTATTTCCATAATATTTTCTGAGCATCATATACAATAGAGCAATGAAGATTGCCACGGAGGCGACAATGGCTGGAAGAACATATTTGTAAGGAAAATGTCTAGTTCTTGAACCCGAGCATGGCGGAACCTGTAAGCTGGGTTTCCCACAAAGTGCTTCATTCTTCATAAAAGATTCTGCTGTAAAATTTGCAAAAGGTCCTCCACTTGGGATCTCCCCAGATAGCTTATTGTAAGAGAGATTCAAATATTTGAGAAGTGAAAGTGCCTCTAGAGACTTGGGTATAGAACCAGATAGGCCATTGTGGGAGAGGTCCATGAAATCCAATGTTCTCAGGTTTGCAAATGATTCAGGTATGGGTCCCGAAAATGAATTCCTGGACAAGTTGATAGAACTTAGACTTTGAAAGGTTGCCAAAGTGATTGAAATGTTACCTGAGATTTTGTTCCAAGACAAATCTATGGTTTCAAGTGATTTCATTGCTCTAATGTTGACACCTAGACTAGTTAACGAATTGAATGACAAATTCAAGAAAAGGAGGCTATCCAAGCTCCATAAACTCGTTGGTATTGACGAGTTTAATGAATTAGACTGCAAGAACATCGTCTGCAACCTACTAACATTTCCGATACATGCAGGGATCGATCCGGAGAGGTTATTGTTATGGAGACTAATATCTCCCAAGTTGCGCAAACTGCAAATCTCCTTGGGAATGGATCCTTCAAGCCTATTACCATCAAGGTGCAACCTTTGCAGCTCTTTCATAGCCCCGATTGTAGATGGAATGGATCCGTTGAAATTGTTGCCACTCAAGATAAGATAATTCAAGTTTGAAAGGGAACCAATTCCATCAGAAATTCGACCTATTAGTTGGCAATTAGATGCAACGAACTGGAGAAGTGAAGTAGAAAGATTTCCAAAAGAATCTGGTAAGATGCTGTGCAATGGATTATCTCGTATAAACAATGTTTCCAAGGATTTAATGCTTGTCAAAGAAGTGAAAAAACTAAGTTCCGGACTTCTCGGTTCTGTAGTTAACTGGTTTTCCTGCAGAGCAAGTGTTGTGAGTGATTCCAAGTGGCATAGAGTTGCAGGTACTGTTCCAGTGAATTGGTTGCTACATAGCCATAATTCAGTAAGCATAGAAAAATTGGACAGATAGGAAGGGATGTTTCCCCTGAGTTGATTTGTTGCGAGGCTAAGGATTTCAAGATTAGAAAGCCCAGTAGGACTGGTTAAAGAAAGATTTCCGGAAAGGTCATTACAGTCTAACGAAATGTGTTGTAAAGAGGAGATGTTGAATAAAAATGGAGGAATTGTCCCAGTGAGATAATTTCCACCAAATTGAATTCGTTCCAAACTTGGAACATTACGCATCTCATTAGGAATATTGCCATGAAACTTGTTTTCTGCCAAACCAATCGACTTTAATCTTGACATGTTAGCAAAGAAAGATGGAATTGTACCTGTGAGGCAGTTTCCTCCTAGATAAAGCTCACTGAGACTGGACAAGGAACTCCATTCATTGGGTATGCTGCCACTAAATTCATTCTTACGCAAAGATATGAATTGAAGCTGTCGGCAGTGGTGTATACTGGCAGGGATCACCCCTTCTAAGCAGTTAAAATGTAAATTGAGTACCTTCAAGCGACGCAAATGACTAATCTCGTGAATAAGTTGACCACGGAAATTGTTATCACGAAGATTTAGCACCTTGAGGAAGGAGAGGTTACCCACATGAGGGGAGATGGTGCCGTGGAGTCCAAATTCAGGAAGCTCCAAAGCTGTGACTCTCTGCCTGTGTCGGCGGCTACATGAGACACCAACCCACTCGCAAAAGTTGGTGTTTTCAGTCCAGTTACTCCCCAAAACGTTGTTGGGGTCGGAGGTGATTGGGGACTTGAAGGTAAGAAGAGCGGATTCATCGGTGTAGTTTGACGAAAACTGGGCACGAGAAACCGTGCATGACTGCATTGGCTGAAGCACTAATAGCAGCAAGGCAATGCCAAACCTCTCCATTGTTCTTCCCAAGGTTCCAAACCCACACAGTAATGAGTGCTTTAGAGAAAGAGAGAAAGAGAGTGCTTCTTCAGTGTATATTAAACCCGCACTATAACAGCCGCACATATAAATGCATGCATGCATATTGCTGCTTGACCAATCAAGCTAGCCTTACCGGGCCATACGATACGCTACTGTCATGTCTCAAAATGCCATGGCATAGAAGACCTTGACCGTTATGTATTTATACTATTTACATAAAGTATCTGCAATCTCTCTTTGGGCATGTATTGTAATTTTAGAGTGATACTTATAAAGCTGTGTGCCTATTCTTCTTATAAAAAATCTCTCAATTTTTTCCTTCTCTGAGAATATTTTTACATATCAGCTGATTAGTTTGGCCAATATTTTTATGCCAATATGTTTTACATACCTCTACAACTATGCTACCACTTTCTTACTTAGTTTATTATTGTCGTTTACCTTTTTAATTATTATTATTATATTAATTTTTTATTGTAAAATTATTTATATTACTAAATTCTTATCCATAATTATATTCATATTGTTCAATTGATATATCATCCTGTTCAATAAAAGTGATGTGAATTCATTATTAATCATGGATGTATTCTTGTTGTTATGACTTGTGTATCAACAAATTTCTTGCATCCTATTCTTGATGTATTATATTTTATATTATTTTATATAAATTATGTGCAATTTCTACAACAAAATGTAAGATACGGTAGAAAAAGGGAAGATGAGAAAATGATAAATGTACAAATTATGACCAATCCTTACCGTTGTAGTCCGAGTCATCGTTGATTAAGATGCATGACCATACAATACGCTAGAAAAAAGAAAAAGATGACCATATACAGTGGGCAACCTTTAACAATAGAGTACTTATGTCATTGGGCACGAATTCTCTAAAGTGGATTTCCATGGGATCCTTTGCAATGAGCTCTTAATATTAAAATTTGTTTGTTTCAAAGATATGTTAAATAATTTATACTTAGTATATGTTTTTTTAATATTTGGAAGAAAGAAAAAAAAAAAAAAAAAGAAAAGAAAAGATGTGGCTCTTTTCATTATTTTTGGAAACATAAAGTGTTTTGTTTGTTGTCTAAAGTTAATTCAACTATCTTTAATTTTAGTTTAAATTCTTTAAATTAACATGTTAAAGTGTTTTAAAAATAATTTAATTTCAAATAATAATATAAATGATATATTGAATTGAGTTACGTTTATATGTGACATTACTTAGTCTGCGTTATGTGCATACCTTATTTTGAAGGTGAAGATGATCTATTTTCTTAATTTAGCTGTCAATAACATTTACTTTTTAAATGGTGATGTTAACCTCTTACAAATGGTGATGTTATTTATAAATGATGGTGAAATATTACTTATAAATAGTGGTATAATTGTTGAACGCGGTCTTCGTGTCTGATAACTGAAGAAAGACGTGGCCAAATATAAACCACTTAAAACTCGAGACCACATGGAAATCTCCCTTCCGAGAATTCGCGCCTTGGGGGTTTTGGCTCAAGCCAAATACGGAATACATACATGCTGAGAAGAAATTTTCCATAATAATATGATTAAAGAACAAAAATTTTGAACCAAAACAATAATGAATTTTAAATTTTTTTAAAATAGTCATTACACACTTTCTTACGGGTTAAATCAATTTTTATTTTTATTTATTTATTTTTTTCTTTCCAAAAAATTCACGATTGTTACTATACTCAATGTCCATCTGAAATTAAAAAAATTACCAAATTCATTTAGAGCATGTACTGTATCAAATTCCAGGTGTTGAATAGCAGAATAGGAAACGGGACTTAAAATATTATATGAAAATTTCCAAGTTTCCAACACCTTCAATTGATAACGCCAATAGTTGGTGAATCTTTTTTTCCTTTCTCTCTCATCGGTGGAAAATATGAAAATAAATATTAGAAGTTTGTGAATATTACAACTTTGGATTGGTGCACTTTTGTGTCAATTATGAGCTTTTGTTGATTTGTATATTATTTTTAAATATTGAATCATAGATGATTATTTCATTAATGTAGAAAGATTAGGGTTTCAGATGGAGGTGAGGTAAGGAGATTTGTGAGGTGGAGAAAGAGAGAGAAGAGAGTCACACTAGAAGAGGGATTCTAAAAAATTTTAAGTTGGGAAAGAAAAACAATTTGGGCTTCAGTGGTGGTGTAACAAGTTGGATAATGACTATTTAAAACAAACATTTAATTTTAAACATGTGTCTAAATTATATTGGATCATATTAGTTTGGGAGGATGAATTTCATTCTCCTAACAGAAGACCCAAGTATTGTCCCTTTTTTTTTTTTTTTCTCGTGTCTTGACAGGAGTCAAAAAATAATAATAATAATAATAAAAATAAAATTTGTGTCTTGAATTTAAATTTTCACAATTTTCATATTTAAGTTGCTAATTCGATGATCACAAACCCAACATAACAACAAACAGTTTATTTTTCTCAAAAAAAAATTGAATTGTATTTACTGTCAAGGCCTCATTTTATTGTTTGAAGTGCTACTTGAAGAATGAGTGTTCCGTGATGCACCAAACAAGAAAAAAATTTCAATGGGTAGGAAAAACCTTATGCTGCGTTTTAATTGACGAACGAAAACAAATTATTTTCAAGTCCATAAAGAAACAAAGACTTGACTTTAAAAAAAAAAAAAAAACAAACCACCTCCTTCAAATTCACGAATTAGGACCCAAGTAGCGGTCTTTGAAATATATTTCTATTTGTCGTGTCCCTTAAGTAATAACAGAAGAAAAAGACTTCTGAAGAAAAAGACCTCTGTTACTTTATGATTTTTTCTTTTTTGTTTTCATGGGTACCCAAAGGGTGATGAACACGTCCAAATACTTGTTTGGGCTGTGATTTCCGTCAAAGAAAAGATCATAAAAAGTCTTCTCTTTGACCTTTTCTGTCAAAGAAAAGATCATAAAAAGTTACCTTCCAAAAAAAAAATTCATAAAAAGTCAGGACAGAGCAGGTGTATGCCAGGGTTTCGAACTAGAATAAGTATGGTTAATTTTTTTTTTTTAATTCTTTATATATATATATATATATATATATATAGAAAATTGTATATAATACCCCCTTAAAATTATGAGTTTCTAAAATTTTTCTTTAACTTTTTTTTTTTCCTCTTTTACTTTTAAAATTCCTATAATTTCCTGTTAAAAAAAATTTAAATTTCCCACTCTAATTCTTTTCCTTTAAATGGCAACATACACATATTTTAGAGAGAGAAAAATAATATTAGAGAGAAGATTTCCTTGGATTGGTCTTCAAGTACATCCAAATAAACTCATTCACTATTCAAATATATACAAAATTGGTACTTATCAATATATATATACACAAAATTAGTAGAGGCATTTTGTTACATAAAAGGGTACTTTTGTAATTTTATCAAAAAAAATGACATCACCAATGGCTATTTTTCATAATATTTATTCCATAGGGGGCAATTTGCTCAAAAGATGGATAATATAGGGAGTTATATACACTTTTTTTCTAATTAAAATGCTTTTTGCACATTTTTTATATAGTGAGAGGTTTTTTTTTTACATAATATTTATTCCATAGGGGGCAATTTGCTCAAAAGATGGATAATATAGGGAGTTATATACACTTTTTTTCTAATAAAAATGTTTTTTGCACATTTTTTACATAGTGAGAGGGTTTTTTTACACTTAATCTTTTTTTTTTTTTATTGCATTGTGCCCCCGAATTAAAGTCCTGCCTCCCCGAGCCTGGAAGAAGCTGAATACATCTCTGGATCTTTTCAATGTTTTACACTTAACAGATTGAAAAGTATACAATTAATGTTACCTACCAGGAAAAAAATAGTATATAATTAATGTGAATACTTCTTCATCTCACAAAAATTAATTTATTTTAACAGTTTGAATCCTATAAAACTTTTTGGCAAGCATGGCCTTGGTAAAAAAATCAAAGTAGTTTGTCACTCCCATGCTTAGGGAAATTGGATAGGGGTTGCAATTTGTGTCGGCGGGCCATATTTGTGTCTTGTCCAACTAATTGGACCATTTAATAATTGTGTGAGGAATACTTGACATGCACATGATCCATTTATTAAATAAGTAACATGACATGGCTTGTTTAAGCCATTTAATAAATGAATAGTATGACTGACAACACAAAATTACCCATTTAATAATTTATTTAACTCGTTTAAATTAAATGGGTCATGTAACCTAATTATTGACTTAAGTATAGATTGCAAAATAAGCAGGAAAAAAATTACATAATGGATGACTAATATTATGAAAATGAGGATAATTACGACAATATAGTACCCAAAAAAAAAAAGACATATTGGCCTATATTGAAATAAGAAAAATGTTCATAGTAATTAAGTTAAATAGGTTTCGGTTTATTTACTCAAAATTTTAAAAATATGTGTATAAAAATAAAAAATAAAATAAATAAATAAACGGGTTAATCAGGATGATTGACACAATTAATTAAATGAGTCTAATTAGGTTAAATGTGATCAAGTCCAAAATACGAACAGAGGACTAATTGAATGGGTTAGATCAACCCAAACAACTAACTTTAAGATACTTTAACGATAATTCGCCCATTAGGATTCAACTTCGATGCACAAAAACACCATCAGCTATAAAATTTAGAAGTGGTATATATCTTACCTTGATCCATTATGAGTAAGAGAATTTGAACCTTAGTTATTGATACTGACTGAACTTTAAGTTGAACAAAAAGATAGGTTTCGTCTATTATGAATGTTGGCGTAAAGGTACTTCTGCAACTAGGGTAGATTCCTTAATATGGGAAGTTTCTTTAGCACTATCATTTTCCATAATAGGTACACGTGCTACCTTATCTTTGACCATTGGTAATGGCATAAGAATCCGGTCTTCGTCAAAGGAAATTTTTCTAGGCTCAGTTCTTCCACTAACATCCCCATTTTCTAAAAACAC